GACTTAGGGACTAAACAACAAGGGCAGGGTGTGGAGTGGGGGTGTGGGAAATCTTTCTAGAGGCCTGAAGGGGACAACTGGGGCAACCAGGATCACAGGAGGCTTCCTAAGTCTGAGCAATGCAGAGCACCGCACCAGTGGGGTAGCAGATTTCTCATCTGTACAGAGGAGGATGTGTACTCTGGGCTCAGACACCTCTTCCTGCATTTCCTGGAGAGCAGCTTGCTCAGCGCTACCTGGTTGGGGGACATCTAAGCTGAGTTGGAACACAGGACATGCAGCCAAGAACCATTGTTGAGAATCCTCCCGGGAGGGTGTGGGCAGGGCTCTGGGCAATGAGACATGTAAGTGACAAGGGTCTGGACCAAGGATGAGTTTTCTGGGCAAGGCCTTGCACCCTACTCACACACTGCCTGCGGGAACTCTGGACCTTCACGTGGGATGATCAGAACAGGTAGGTTGGGGCTCAGTCCTGCCCTGAGAGCAGGTGAGGTTCACTGTCTGGAAAGACGGCCCCACAGCAGGTCCACAGGGCACTCAAGGCTGGGGACCTGCTCACTGCCCACGGGGACATTTAGGGCAGTCTAACTGGGCACAGATGGGGCACTCTTGGGTACACCTCAGACTTTCACTTTCTGGGCACTCTGGTGGGACCCATGGGCCCACTCGGGTTTCTGCTCATGACCTCTTGATCCCCACCCAGCCTCTTCCTGTAAACAAAATGCATATACCTGGGATCCTCTCTCTTAGCAGGATCTTTCATGTTGCACGTGTTAAAACGTCTCTACAAGCTGACCAAGGGCCTGTGACTCAGCATTCCTGCTCCCACGCAGGTTTGCAGCGGTGCCAACTGACGGAAATCCCAGGAGAGGCCAGCAGCTGTCCAGGCCCAACGGCCCCCAAGTCCCGGCTCTGCAGACCTCCAGCCCTCCTCTCTCATCCTTCGACCTGCCAGGGCCATTGGCGTGTTTGATGGCCGTCGCTTCTCAAGTCGCTCAGCTCCTCAAGTCAGCTGCTACCAGTGCCCAGCTTGTCTTAATCAATTACTGCGGGGCTTTGTGGGCCCCACCCTCCACACCCCATGTATCCCCAGCATAGGGTAGTGGGAGGTGAGATGGACCCCAGGAGGTTGGGTGATGCAGCCAGGGAACAGAACCCGCGTGCTGGCCCTGCAGAGGCGGGACGTGGCCCGCCTGTGAGGGCTGTGGGTGGGTGGGGTGCCTGCTCGAGCTGAGTCACCCGCTGGCACCAGGAAGCCTGGCCGCATGACCTCCAAGCTGAGGCAACTTGGACTTGCTGAATATGAGCAAAGTTACTACTGTTTCCTAGAAGCAACGGGGAGTTGATGAGTTTCACCGAGCGTCTCCTTCCTAGAACGGTCACCATCCTGGGGGCACCTCTAGGGTCAGTGGGAACAGGGTCAAGTGAAGTCACATGAAGGGTGGGGACATCTCCACCTGCAGACACTGGGTGCTCCCTTTGAGCAGAGGAAATGGTTTGGATCTGTCTTGCAGATGCATTTGTGAGACAACTTGTCTAAGTATCTTAGACCAAGGAAGAGATGAAGCTTACAAGACCCAGGAACTGCTCACACACTCAGATACACAGACACACACAGACTGTGAGATACACCCAGACATTCACTCACAGGGAACACATCCACATCTCACACCCCTGCATGCTTATAGACACCCACCCTGCCAGCCCTGCACACACCCTTGGCCTGATGGACAGGCTGGAGACCGAGGGCCCCAGGCCGACTTGAGACTCCAGGGCTTAGAACAGAAATGGCAAGAACATGCTGACTTTCTGCCTCGGCCCGTTCAGGGCTGCCATGTGAGTACCCTGGTCCTGCCCCTGACTTGAGCCTCTACTATCCCATCCATGAAACAGGCATCAAGGACTGACCAACTTGCCTAAGTGGAACCACCCCTGAAGCATCGAACACGGAGGGCAGAAAACACGGGGAAGTGTGGAGGGCTTCCCAGAGCTCTGGCTTCTGCATTGGTTCGCCCAGCCCTCCCAGCACTGCAGCTTGACCGCTTGCCCTGAGCGCACATTTCCCAGCTAGCAGGGGAGCCTCAGCAACCACCTGAGGCTTCAGGGAGTGGGGGTCCCACCGGGAGGAAGCCCAGCCCTCTGCCCTTCCAGCGCTCCTGCATCGCCACCTGCTGGCCACGAAGAGCCTCGGTGTGCGCCTGGCACAAGCCCTGGGCATTAGCCCAGGTTCCCAGAGCCCCCCAACAGGTTCAAGACAGTGGGTAGGGGTGTAGGCTGGCAAGGCCAGGGACCTGGCCCCCAATTTCTAGAGTCAGGAAGGGCAGAAGCAAAGCTTTGGCGCCAGGAGCTGGGCTCCGTTCCCAGACTTCCTCCTGGAAATGGGCGAGCGCAGGAGGGCTGGACGCTGAGCCACGGTGACTGGCTAAACCTTCCAACCCTGCTCCCTGCCCCGGTCCTCTGCAGGCCCCAGAGCTGAGGCATCTCCTTGATAAAGCAGGGTTCAGGTAAGGACACAGGCTCCCATGGAATGGGTCAGCTGATTCCTGGACGCACCCAGAGCTCCAAGGACATGGCCTGATCTCTAGTCCATGAGGTGACCCTTGGCAGGACACCCCAAGTCAGCAAACAGGGTGCAGAGGGTGTGAAAGAATATTTGGGGGAATCTGCTGCAAGTTTTGTGTGGCTTATGACTGTGTACCTTGAGATAGTGCATTGCCTTTTCACCAAGCTGCACAATCGCTCTGCCTCTGGGCTTCTGCATTCCCGCTGCCTCTGCTCAGCCCCACAGCTCCCCCACACCCAGGTGACAGCAGCCCTGCCTTCTCCCCACCCCAGCACACACTGGGAGCATTCCTGGGTCTTGCTCCTTTATTATTCAGGAGACTGGTGTCATTCTCTGTAAAAGCTGACTCTTAACTAAAAACAACAGTGTTAACAGTTCACCTAAAAAAATGTATTAAAGCTTAATTGAACCAGATCTCCAGTCTCCAGGACACTCAGCTACAACTTGGCACTTAGTCAAGTCCATTTCAACTCATTACTTCACGCAACTAGTTTCTCAACCCAGCTCAAGAGAACTGTTTTTTGCCTTACCTGGCTTGCTGCTTGGAGTTGAAAAATACCAGATTTCACACCCTGGGGACGGGCTGGACAGGAGAGGAGAGCAGGGAGGAGGCCCAGGTGCTCCATCCGTCCAGCAATGTCCAGAGCTGACTTCTGGAGGGAGAGCCCACCCCAGGCACAGGCAGGTCAGAGCCAGGTTGGCAGGGGGATGCCTGTGATGGCTGGTGTGACGGCTCCAAGACACTGCATTTCAGATGTGTTAATGAGGGGTTAACCAGACACATGCTTCAGACCATCACACTCTCCCTGGATCTCCGGGCCTCAGAAATACATCAGAGGTCAGACAGGTGGAGACCCAGCTTTGCCTACAAGGTCCAGAAACCCAGGGGAAAACACCTGAGGCCACATCACTGGGAAGGAGCATGTGTTGGTGACTTTCTGAGTAACATGAAGCACGTTTCCTGCATCAACCTTTAAAGTCAGGCACCTGACTCCAAATGATCCTGGCAAAGGATGCAAAATTCAGTTTCCCTGTTATGAGAGTGAAAGGGAAGAACCAGGATGAAGGGAGGAGCAGAGGGGAGACAGGCTGTGATCGCTGCCCTCCTGCAGCCAGTCTGAGAACTGGAGTCAGTGGTGCTTCTCAAGGGACCCCAGCGTCACCCCACCAGCCACCCTGCCTGAGATGCTGCTCCTCCTGTCCAAGCAGGCCTCTTGCTCTTCCCACAGCGCCTATTCAACCAGTGCCACTTATGGGCATCCTCCAGTGCTCCAGTATGGTGCCCAGCTCTGGGGTTCATGCCTTGGGGCTGACCCTCATCTGTCGCACCACTTCTTCGGCTACACAAGAGAATATACACAACTGTGTACACAGCTCTCACTCCTGCCAGGCCCCCACTAGACACTCACGGCTGCCCTCTCACAACCCTTGTTAAGAACAAATTATTCACTGGACACTTGTTAGAAAGTGCAAGAGAGACTTTATTCAAGACTCTGGCAAATGTGGGAAGAAACTGATTTCAACTCCCAGGATAACAGAGACAGAGTGAAGATTACAGCCCACAGCCAGGTGAGGATGCAAATGCAAATCACTAAGAGGAACTCGGTTAGCTTCAAGGGTGGGGGATTCTTGGCTGGTACAGGACCCAGCAAGCCCAGGATGAGGCCTGGAGGAGACGCCAGTGAACCAGGCCTGAGTTTGCTCTGTCCCCCTCCCCACAATGTCCCTGTCCCCCCAAGTGGAGGTTGGGGTCAAGAAACAGGTTCAGTTCAGTTCAGTCCAATTGCTCAGTCATGTCCGACTCTTTGAGATCCCATGAACCGCAGCTCACCAGGCCTCCCTGTCTATCACCAACTCCCGGAGTTTACCCAAACTGGTCCATTGAGTCGGTGATGCCACCCAACCATCTCATCCCCTGTCGTCCCCTTCTCCTCTTGCCCTCAATCTTTCCCAGCATCAGGGTCTTTTCTAATGAGTCAGTTCTTCGCATCAGGTGGCCAAAGTACTGGAGTTTCAGCTTTAGCATCAGTCCTTCCAGTGAACACCCAGGACTGATCTCCTTTAGGATGGACTGGTTGGATATCCTTGCAGTCTAAGGGATTCTCAAGAGTCTTCTCCAACACCGCAGTTCAAAAGTATCGCTTCTTCGGCGCTCAGCTTTCTTTATAGGAACCCTCCAAGGAGAGGACCCGCTGTGGTCGACAGATCCAAAGCCGGAGACCGACACCACGTCTCATGTGCCTAGACTCGGGTGGTGAGCCTCCTCCCAAGTGTGTCCATTTGCCCTTCAGGCTCTGGTTTTCTTTCCCTCCATCCCAGGCCTGCCTTTCTCTCTCTGCCTCTCACTAGCCTCTGCTCCGACATTCTCGGCAATTGTGAGCTGCTGTCTTCCCGCCCCCTCTCCACTGCCACGTTCTCTGTCCACCTCCCTTTCCAGAAATTCTGGCCTCCACAGAATTTCTAACCCTGAGCCCCACGCTGCACCCGGACCGACCACAGCCCAGAATGGATCTGCTGATTAGGCGGTGTGCATCATACAACATGCTTCTGTGCCGTGCGCCTGCTTCTAAAGGTGATGAGTACAACGCTTTATCTCTTCTTCTTTCTTGAAATAATAATCCAAACGACAAAATTAATTTGCCCTTCAAGGATTGTGCCCTGCTGGAATCTTTCTACACGTGGCCTGAGAGGACAGGTTTCTTGGAGGAGGCTGAGCCCCTGCAGACAGAGGCTCTCAAATAATAGGCAGGGGGATAGTTTCCTGGAGGTCACACCTGAAGCTTCCACATCCCAGAGGGTGGCCCCGAAACCCCCCTCTTCAAAGCCCAGTAGCCAAGTAGAAACTGATGTCCCCCGGACCAGGCCAGTTTTTCCTGCTTGTCCTGTTTGGGGACTCCAGCCAGAAACCCAATAAGCAGAGGGCGGTGGGGGGGCAAGGAGAGGAGGGGAGGCAAACAAGAGATCCCAGGCTCTGTACCGTGCTGGGAGAATGTGGGGGGCAGGGCACATGAGAGCCTGATGACGCAGCATTAAGCCCCTAAACACTTCCTCACCGAGTCTCAGGACCTTGCTAGAGGCACTTCTTCAGGGTCCTGTGCAGGAGGTGCCTACCCCCACCTTTGGAAGCTGGGTGCCCTGGGCTCACCTCCTTGGGTGGTCTTTCCCCCCATTCTTCCTGCTGTCTCCCCACAGAGCTCCTCTTCTCCCCAGCTCCAGCTGCTTCCTCTGTGGAAGACTCTGAGGTCACCTCTCACATGTCACATCCAAAGAGGAGCCCTCCATTCAATCCTGAAACCTTGGGCTTCCCGTTCAGTAAGAGGCCATGTTATTCTAAATGCTCGGGCCAAATCGCAGTGTCAACTCCGCTTGGCTCTTTCTCACGAATCCCACATCCTTCCTTGATTTCTTCCTGCTCTACGTTTACAATGTATTCCAAACCCAGCACTCCCCTCACATACTCCCATCACTGCCAAAGAATTGATGCTTTCGAATTGTGGTGCTGGAGAAGACTCTTGAGAGACCCTTGGACTTCAAGGAGAGCAAACCAGTCCATCCTAAAGGAAATCAACCCTGAATATTCATTGGAAGGACTGATGCTGAAGCTGAAGCTCTAATCCTTTGGCCACCTGATGTGAAGAACTGATTCATTAGAAAAGAGCCTGATGCTGGGAAAGATTGAGGGCAAGAGGAGAAGGGGATGACAGAGGATGAGATGGTTGGATGGCATCACCAACTCAATGGACATGAATTTGAGCAAACTCCGGGAGATGGTGAAGGACAGGGAAGCCTGGCATGCTCCTTCATAGGGTTGCAGAGAGTCGGATACAACTTAGCAACTGAACAGCAACATCACACGCACCACCACCCTGCCTCCCACTGGTCTGAACTACCTCACCAGGGCCTGGATTATGGTAAATAGTCTTCCAGCTGCCCTCAGCCACGGAAGGACCTGGCCATGACATTCTTCTCTCATCTCACTTAGAATGAAATCCAAAGCTTCGTGATACTCATAACCTGGTTGTTCCCTCTATTCTCATTGCTCTGCAGATACTCTGGGCTCTGACTCTCCTCAGACAAGCACCCCTGCCTCAGGGTCTTTGCACATCCCACCAATCTGTTAGAAAGCTCTTCCCGCAGGCATGTGCATGGCCCATCCCACTTAATTTACACCAAAGCTCATCTTACTTGTCTATCATCTGCCTCCTTGCAAGAACTGAAGCTCCCAGGGCTCATGGGGCACATTTTCCACCTGCTTCCCCAGCGCCTGGGGTGATGGCCAGCACATTGGACATGCTCAGTAACATGAGTTATGGATAAATTAGTGAATGGTCAGGGCCACAGTGTGGGGATGCTCTGGAGCCTGTATCCTGCCCGGAGGGGTGTGTTCTGAGCCCCCACAGAGCCCCTGCCCGCGTCCAACTATACAGACCACCTGGCTGCTTTCTCTGACCTTTGTAGGTGCAGCCCCACCTGCCTTCTTCACAGACCCTCTTTTCTTCCATTCAAACCCTGCTTCTACCTCCTGGCCAAGCTCACCTAATTGTCTTCCACATCACTGCTGTGTCTGGGGTTGGGGGAGGGGGGAGTCTGGGCAGCTCTGCCAAGGGGCTAGTGTAGAGTTGCATGAACTGGCACCGTTTTCCAAAGGGGGGGGTGGTCTTCCCTGCTGCACCTGGCTCCTAGACACCTGCTGGGTGATTGAGGGGTGGTATTGACCAGGCAGCAGCAAAGTTCCTCACGTGTCAGGCATCACTGGGCCTCCTTGGTAGCTTAGCTGGTAAAGAATCCACCCACAATGCAGGAGAACCTGGTTCAATTCCTGGATCAGGAAGTTCCCTTGGTGAAGGGATAGGCTACCCACTCCAGTATTCTGAGGCTTCCCTAGGTGGCTCAGACCATAAAGAATCTGCCTGCAATGCGGGAGACCTAGGTTCAATCCCTGGGTTGGGAAGATCCCCTGGAGGTGGGCATGGCAACCCATTCCAGTATTCCTGCCTGGAAAAATCCCCATGGACAGAGGAGCCTGGTGGGCTACAGTCCATGGGGTCTCAGAGCTGGACACGACTGAGTGACTAAGCACAGCACAGCACTGATGGAAATGGGCCCCCCGCCTCAGGTGTTCTGTGCGCCCCCCGCCCACCCCTTGCTGTGTTCATCAAGCCGAAAGCAGCTGCCCCAGGCACAAAGAGGTACGAGTCCTGGCTGGCAAATGCCGAGAGGGTGCTGCTGCCAGCCTGTGCTCAAGAGTGATGAGTTGAGTCCTGCAGCTCCAAGGACGCTGCGTGCTATTTAGGCCACTGACACTGGCTGTGGTGCTTCTGCACAAAAGGCATGTTTTGGACACCTCACTATTGTCCGATGCATTCTCACCCCCCACTGCACCCCAAGGTTTCAAGTTCCTGGAGCCTGTTGGAGAGTTCGTGTTTTTCCTCCTGTGCCGGCCATGGTTCCAGGAGGAATACTGTGTGGCCCTCGGGGAAGGGGGTCACAATGAAGGGAAAGGAATTTGTGTTTTTATAGCCAGTCACTCACCTTGCAACAGGCCGTGTGTGTGTTAGGACCTTGATCCTCCAGTCAGAGCCCTAAGGCACTAAGTAACTCACACAGAATCCCATGCATGCCTGCTGACCACACCCCAGTGGTCGGGTGCCTCTCTTAAACCCACTTCTAACTCCAGGCTCGGGGCATTTTGCTAAAGCCAGGTGTTGGAGTCCAAAGCCTTTCCTGATGAAGCTCATTGCGAGAGAAAACAGCACAAACCAATAAACGGCAGAACAGCCAAATACAGCTAAGAGCCGTAGCACAGAAGGAACGCAGGGGGCCTCCCCGGCCTCTGAGTGAGTCTGAGCTCGACTTTGCTCTTTCCTCTGCTGCCACCCAGCGCCCCCAAAGAGAGGCTGACCAGAAACCACACCAGTTTCCTTTAGCCTCAGCTCAACAATTTTGGAGAGGGCAAGTAACCCTTTAAGAATCTGCTTAAATGTGGGAAAATCACAGAGGAAAATGCCCGTGCCCAAGTTTTTGAAAACACTTGCAGGGGTATGCCAAGGATGCTAGATAAAGAATCCCCTTTTCAGAATCTAAATGTGAAATCAGGAGTGGTGTTTGTACTCTATGGCCATCAAATCCTTGATTTCCTGAGGTCCAGGTGTGAAGAGCAAAACCTTACAACTGAAGGCACCTGGAATCAGGATGTGTTCGGAGGGTCACAAAGCAGCCTGGACTGGGCCCACAGCAGAAATCCAAGAACAGATTCCCCGATTCTACAAAACCATACTTGAGGTATTGGAGAGACTTCAAATCCATGGGAGAAAGGGCAGAAGACTTCACAGTGTCGGGGTAAGTGTTTGCTAGTTTGGCTTTTCCTCCTTAACAAACTAACCCAAATCTTAGTGGCTTAATGCAGTCATTTATTTGCTCATGATCCTGTGGGTAGACAATTTGGGCTTGCTCAACAGGACAGTGATTTTGCTGACTTCTTCTGAGCTCACCAAGCATCTTAGCAATCGGCACATTCCCTTTTTCTCATCAGTAAAGTGCCAGCATTGACTGACTCTGCACTACACTCTTGCATTTTTTTCATCTTGCTAGTGTCACTGATGGCATACCATATTCTGTATCTTATACCAGTTTTTCTATTTGTGAAGTTTGTGATCAGCTCTGAAGTATCACCTGCTTCTATGCCCTATGCCTAACTTTGTGAGTAGATGTAATGCTACTCACATTACAGAAAGCCATATGACCTTTCTATAAATTGCAAACTATGTACTTTAAAAACTTTTTATGATACAACAGTAATTCTAATTCATGGCAGAAAATTTGGGAAATATGGAAAAACATAAGATAAAAAGTATTTTTAAGCCCATAATCCCTGCAGCCCAAAATAGTATTTCCTCCTGGTATTTTTTTCTATTAATATTTTTTCTACATTTTTCAGATTTTGCATAATGAACACAGTCACATTTGTAATCAGAAAACAAACATTCGCAGTTACAATAGGGTTCTATCATGCTCTTTGCAGGTTTGGCCAGAGAGAGAAAATGAGAAAATAAAACAGCAGGACGGGACTCCCCACTGTTCCTGCTGCAAAGGCCCTGAAACGGGGACTTGACTGTTTTCAGGGGCTAAAGTACTTTGTGGATCTCTTCCGCGCCACATATTCTTCACTCAGCATTCCATGCTGCCTGAGCTCTTGGCAGATTAAAAACAAACTCAGTCGACCTCTGGATGGCTTTTGAAGTATCTGCTGAGACATGCCAAAAGTGACGTTCACTCATTAATGTTATCTAATACCCAGCTCCTCCTTCCACTGTTCCCAATTCTCAAAAATATCTTTTTACAATTTGTTAGAAACAGTATCCAAAGGCCTACAGCGTCCTCTAACGTCTGTAAAGTTTTTACACTGTCTTTTCTTCCCAGGGCCTGTTCGATTGAGCGCGGAGAGGCAGTCAAGCGCACTCCAATCTCCAGAAGCGGAACGCCGGCCAGAACCCCAAACCTCGGATGCAAGCAAGCTTCTGTCTCCCCTGGGAGCATCGCCGAAGTGAGTGGGCTTCAGCGGTTACCACGGAGATTCTGGCTTGCGGCCCTGGTTGGCTGAGACGCCTCCACACCGTCCCCCCTGCTCAGCTCAGGGGGAGAAGTAAGCAGAAGCGGAGATTTCTCAGGGACTTCTGGGAAAGGGAAGTCCCTGAGAACGGAAACGGAAGCGACTTGGCCCGGTGCATCCTGGGAGTTGCAGTTCAGTTGTCTAGGGCTTTTGTACCCTCAGGCCAAGCGGTCTGGGCCCGTCGCGCGAGTAGCCACGGACGCAGGAAGGCAGGCTGGAGCTTGGTTTTCCACAAGGTCGGTGCGGCCCGAGACCCTGCTGTCCCACCTCCACTCCAACCGGGAGCAGCGGCCATTAGGCGTTGGGGCTTGACGGGGAGCTGGACCTCAGGTCTCTCAGAAGCCGCGGAGCCCCAGGGCACCCGCTCGGCTCATGAAGAGCAGAGGTGGAAAGGGAACGGAATGTCAAGTGCTTAAACGATTTGAACGGACCCAGAGTTTCCTGGTTGTGACAGCAGCCTTGGTGCAGTGGGCCAGATTTTAGTCTCGGGACTGCAACCTGCAACCCCTAGACGGTGAGCCTTTGCCAAAATGTTTGCTTGGAAACCCCAAATTTGACTTGAAGGAGTTGTTTTTTTGGAGGCCTTGTGAAGGACTTGCATTTATCCGTACACTATAATCTACACCTTTCCAAGATTTCTTAACACTTGCTGAAAATTGAGTATGCAAATCTTTAATTAAGGAAGCAAAGTGGTTTCCACAATTTAAGTGACTATGCATTTGGGTTTCTCAGAGGTTTGTATTTGTTTAAAAAAAGAGAGAAAGGAACAATTCTCTAGTGCCTTACCTCTCTTGGTACCAGAGCATCTCTTATGTTTATGATCAGTGAAAATGCTGTTGTCTCTAGTTAATGATTCCACCCAAGTGTTAACTGTGATCTTAGATCACCTTGTCATACTGCCCTTCCATTTTCAACCAGTTTGATAACACCTCCTCAGACTTTGTATCTTCTCTAGTATGGTATTTTGTCTTCTCTGTTGACTGGAGGTCAGTCTTTGTCCTTCAACACAGACTTTTGGGAGATTCAGATTATATCCTTTTAAAAACTAATAGCACTTGAAACATTTCAAAATATTTAAGTAATGACAGTTTTTATTTTGTTGCGTATTTTTTTTTCCAATTAGAAGAATTCTCAGTTTCTGAAATTAGTCTCAGCCCAGGAAAGAATTGTGGAGATCTAGTGAGATGTTGATGTCTTTAGAGGCACTTATTCAGAGAGGGATAAATCTGTATGTGCAACTTAGGGGTGAATGTTTAGGAATGCAATCTCAAAAATGTTGTCCAAAGAGCTCTCCTTAATGCCTTAAATTCTGCCGTTCTGTTCAGATTTAGACCTTCCTCAGTGATTATTCCTTTGTACATTGCTTTTTCAGGTGCTGTTTTTACATTCCTTAATGGCTTCTCTCCAGGTGCTTTCAATCTAACAGCATTCATTCTTTTGCATTTTCTAACAGTTATGCTTCCCCTTCATTATTTGTGTTTTGAAGAGGTACCTGTCCATTCTCTCATTTAAGCTCTGTTCGGTCTCCAGATATTGTGGTAGTGTAGTGGACAAAGCCTGAGTTCTATATCTGACCATCTCATTAATAACTTCTGTATCTTTAGGTTAATCACATAACCTCTCTAGTTCTAAACGTGTTCATCTTTAAGTGAGAAGGTTAAACTTCTACATCTTTAAAACATTTTTTTCAGCTTTCAGAGTCTTTGCCTGTTGGGCCAGCTTCTTCCCCAGCACTTCTGCCTCTATTTATCTCTACTCCACTGGCTTATTATTTTCCCAGATTTCAAGACTGTAAATATGCATTCTAATTTTAGTAAGGTTATTTTTTTTTAATCCTGAATGCAGTTCCCCAGCACAGAAAATGTTTTTATAAATTTTTTATTCCCCTCAGATGTGAAGACCAGAGCAGATACCAAAGAGATCAGTAGAATATACTTTTGAGTAAGCAGCAACATTTCTGTCGTCATTGAAAGGCTCAGAGATGTGTCCAAAGGGTATTTATTTGAAGGAATCTGTGAATTTGAGGCCAAGATAGAAAAGCAGGAGAACTCTATAGGCAAAATTTCAAAAACAAAAAAACAAAAAAACTCTCTCGCCCAAACCAGTGATTTCCAGCAAATAATAGTTGCCCATGAAAACTATCTTGTGAGGAAAATGGGCATACTTTTAATGAATTTGAGAGAAGTTTTGATTTAAGATATAAACTTATCCCAAAGTATATTACTTGTTCAGAAGAGAAACTACATATATATACTTGATCCATTTGGGAAAAATGTCAAATGGAATTTATCTCCAATTAAGTCAAAGAACTTCTAAAAAGAAAGCATAATTGTAGTGACTTTGGAAAAAATTTGAGTGACCGTTCAAACTTTATCATGAAAGAATTCATACTGGTGAGAAACCTCATAAGTGTGATGACTGTGGAAAAGCATTTATCCAGAATTCATGTCTTACTGAATATCAGAGAACTCATACTGGAGAAAAACCCTGTAAATGTAAAATTTGTAGGAAGGCATTCACTGTAAATTCATCTGTTCAGCATCACTGAACAGCAACACTGGGGAGAAACCTTATATATGTAATGAATATAGGAAAGTGACTACTCATCCTTTATTCATCATCAGAGAATTCACAGTGGGGAGAAACCCTATGAATGCATTGATTGGGGAAGTCCTTCACTGATACCTCATCTCTTACACATCAGAGAATTCACATGGGAGTGAAACCCTGTAAGTGTAGTGATGGTGGGAAGGCATTCAGATGAAGTACACACCTTACCTAACACCAGAGAATTCATACTGAGGAAAAGCTTTATAAATATAATGAATGTGGAAAAGCATTCAGTGCCCACTCAATGTTTACACAACACCAGAGGATTCACACTGGAGAAAAACCCTATACATGCAGTGAATGTGGGAAGGACTTCCCTGAAAACTCATCCCTTACTGAACATCACTGAATTCATACTGGAGAGAAACCTCATGAACACAGCAAATGTGGTAAAGCATTTAGCCAGAGCACTCATCTTACTCAACATCAGAGACTTCATACTGGAGAGAAACCCTTTAAATCTGATAGATGTGGAAAAGCATTTGGTAACAGTTCAATCCTGATCAAATATCAGCAGCTTCACACATTAGTCATCTTAATGATACTGTTTCATGGACTACTCTATCCTTTCATGATCCACTCTTAACATTTTGGTCATGTCTCTTACCCATGCCACCCACTCTTCTGCTTACAGTTTGAATCTAGGAATGTTGTACTCCTGGGATAAAGTGAAACATTGGGTAATATTTTAAGTTTCCCATACTGACACTGTTTTGTTAGGTGCATAGATTTAGACTGTTTTCTTGGGAGAATTAGTCCATTTATCAGTATTTAATGCCCCTTCTTATCCCTTCCTGGAAAATCCCGTGGACAGAGTAGCCTGATTGGCTACAGTCCATGGGGTCGCAAAGAGTTGGACACGACTGAGCAACTTCACTTTCACTTTCTTTCTTTCTTATCCCTTAGTATCTTACCTGAAGTCTGCTTTGTCTGAAATTAATAAAAGGTAAGTCGGCTTGCTTTTGGTTAGTGTTAGCATGGCGTATTTTTCTCCATCTCTGTACTTTTAACACGTTTGTTACTGTTTTCTATGCTTTCTATTTGTTGTTTTCTATCTTCCATCTTCTGCCATCTCTGATTTTAATTGAGCATTTTATAACTCCATTTTCTCTCTTGTAGTAGATTAATTATATCTTTTAAACAGTTTAGTGGCTCCCTTAGAGCTTGCACTATACATTTTTAAATTAAGTGCACATTTAAATAAAAAGATCCTGCTCCACGCATAGCACAGGTAACTTACATCAGAGTATTCCCATCCTTTGTGGTATTGCTGTCATTTATTTCACTTATACATATGCTATGATCACCCAGTATGTTGTTATTATTGCTTTTAATAAACAATTATTTTTGAGAATAAGATTTTTTTTATCCTTATAAAATTTCTCACTGGTGCTATTCATGTCTTGATGTAGATCTAAGTTTCTGAACTAAATAAATTTTCTTCTGCCAGAACAATTTTTCTTTTGGCCATGCCACGCAACATGTGGGATCTTAGTTCCCTGACCAAGGATTGAACCTGTGCCCTTTTCTGTGGAAGCACAGAGTCTTAACCACTGGACCACCAGGGAAGTGCTTGCAGTTTTATTCTTATATAAATATCCCTTTGAACTGGTTTTAATATCTGACTGGTTCTCTTACTAATAGTAAGTTGAATAAAATCTTTGATATGCATATTTTGCATTTACATGCCATGATCTTACCTTAGAAAGAAAAACCTCTTGAAATTCACATAACAAAATTAACCATTTCAAAGTGATTCTGTAGAAAATAGTACGTTCACAAGGTTGTACAATCATCACATGAATCTAGTTCTATAACATTTTTATCACCCCAAACTAAAACCCCTTATCCATTAAATAGTAACTTCATTCCCTCCTTCCCCCTGGCAAAGCACCAGTTTGCTCTTCTTCTTTTGGCTTCACCAGTTCTGGGTATTTCATGTAATGGAATCATACCATATATGATCTTTCCTATCTGACTTTTCACTTGGCACGTTTCAAAGTTCATCCTCACCATAGCATATATCGGCACTCCTAACATGGTTTTTTTCTAGCATTTACTGTAAGTATGGTCAAGGAGCGGTTCTCAAAGTGTAGTGCATGGGTCAGCAGCATCACCTGAGAACTTGTTAGAAATTAAAATTCACTGGAACTGTAAGATTAAATGTCACAGAAACTCTGGGGGTGGGGCCAGCAATCCATGTTGGAACACGCCTTGCAGGTGATTTGCAGGTGTGCTAAGTGAGAAACCCCTTAGTCAAAATACAGTTAAGATACAGCCTGTCACCAACGTCAAATCAGGAAGAATCCAGGGGGAAAAGCCAACCAGTTGCAACGTACAAAATGTCTTCTTGTCACTTAAAAGCAGGATTAGAGAGGTAACGTGATTTTGAAAGAAAAAAGGTAATTATCTGTGGCTTTTTGTTATAAACAGTAAAAGAATTGAAAAAAGAAATGATCTTTTAAAGTATGAGTTTATTCTCCAGGTTTTCTTAAATACCACAAATTAGTGCTTTTATTGCAGCTGTATCCAGAAGCTGAAAACAATTTAAAATACATCCTTTTAATCATACATTTAGTACTTGTAAGAGACAGAATGGAACAGTATCAATTTTAGAGATGAGTTTGATTCAATAAAAAGCATATGGAAATTGAAGATAATTACAGAAATGATTGAAAGCATAAATTATGTAGAAATAAAAGGGTGAAAGGTGTTTCATTAAAAAAAAGTCCCTGTTACCTCTCCTGCTGGTTAGTAACCTAATGAAAACAGTAAGGCAAGTATTCAAACCAAGTGGTTCTATCCTTTTCATGCATGCAGCTTTAGCTCAGAAATTGGCGGGGGCAGGGCGGGGGGGGGGGGGCAGGATTTTAGGTTCTAAACATCCCAAATATTTTACTGCCTTAGGCTAATGGATCTTTTTAACCCTAAGAAAGTGGTAGTAATTCTTATTTGCTTGGACAGAAAAAACAAAAAAATGGATGAGCAGTTAAACAAATCAAGTGGGATTTAGTCACTGGGGCACAGTTACAAGTGGCCCCAAATGAGAACACACAAAAAGCTTAGTCTGAGGATGAGAATGTTAAAATTAAAAAAAAAAAAGGAGAGGAGCACTTGAGATCTTTGTAGCAATATATTTGGCCAAATAGTCAAGGTTTGGCACATACGAGGGGAATGAGTCCCTAGAAAGATGAAGTTAGTGAGAACATATTCCAGTTAGTTCCAATTCAGTTTACAAATTAACAATACAAAATGATTTTATTTCCCATCCCTTCCCTTCAAAAGAAAATTAAAAATTATATTCTTGGTGCTATGCTAATGTTTGTGAGCTTGCCGTACTTCTGGTTAGTTTTTAAAGATGTGTTGTGTGCTGTGCTTAGTCACTCAGTCACGTCCAACTCTGTCCATGGGATTCTCCAGGCAAGAATGCTGGGGTGGGTTGCCATGCCCTCCTCCAGGGGATCTTCCCAACCCAGATCTCCCACATTGCAGGCAGATTCTTTACCATCTAAGCTACTTGTGATAACAAATGTTATTAATGTGGCCAATACATTAAATTTCTAAAGAATAAAATACTATGTTATTATTCACAATGACACAACAAAAATAATAAAGATTCTACAATTGTTCCCAGTCCTGGGATCATGAAATAGAATAATTTAGTGACCATTAAATGGAAAATGAATTATGAAAACTGTTGTTTCCAGAATGTCTTTCCCCTCCCCTCTTCACTTGTGTTAAGAAAAAAAAAAAGACCTTTTACTTTCTTCAGATACATTTTAAATAACCTAACATTTTCCCCCCATTTTCTCTGAAATCAAATTTTAAAACTTCTAAAATTTGCTCATAGTAAGTGATCTCAGAAGTTTGACAATAAAGCTACTTTTAATAATTTTTTTTTAAGTGTCAAGACTATATCATTTGCCAAGAGGGTGCCCTGAAGTCTCTTTTTTTGGGTCATTTTTAATGCATTTTAGCTTGTTACCTAGTGTGCATGTAATAGAACTAAAGTTCCTATAGGGAGAGAATGAAATTGGAGCACTGATGAGGTAATTAGACATGGAAGTTCAAAGTTAGAAAAATGACTTTGTGTATTAAACTTAGTCAATACAGTTAGTTCAACAACTGGCCAAGTCAGGGAAAGGGGAAATAAAACTACTGCAATTCAAACAGCTTGACTCAAAAAAATAAAAAAAGAGTCTATAGCCTACCAGATAGCTCTGTACACAATCTAGAGACTTTCTGCCACAATACTAAAATACAGATTCTTCACAAATCACAACTTTATCCCAAATGTTCTTACAGGTTCTATGTTGCTTTTAAATTCTACTAAACAATCGATAGCTTTACAACAAAATTTATTTTATTTTAAAAAAACACATTTAAATCACTATCCCACAAAATGTTTAGAAACACGGGTAACCATGGAAAGTAAACGTGCATATACTGCTTTTATTATAATAATTATAGTTGCTAGCTGAATGAAAACAAATAATAGCTAAAAAGGTTTCAAATGACAGAAAAACGTATTTAAGTTATGACAATTTTTTGAGTACTCAGATGATGAAATGTATTATTTCTGCACCAAATGCAAAGTTAACAATGAAATCAAGGTATTGAAAGGTCAAAAGGGGCCTCAAACATTCACTATCTTTTAAATTTTAGACAAAAGAGCTGAGAATAGAAAAGAAAAAAAAACCCAATATATACACCATAAAAGTCTTTTTCTTTTTTAATGACTTCCAATTTTAACTCTTTTTCTAAAAGCACTAAGGGCATGGAGACCCTTATTGTAGATTATGTATCATCTCCTCTTTGGCTATGAGGTGTGTGGTTTTGTTAACTAGAGACATCAATGAGTTCAATTTCTGAGACCAGTCATTTAATAAATTATTTGGATCCTTGGGTCTCTGGAAGTTGATAATTCCTGCCAACCTGTCTACTTTAGCAAAGATGGTCTTGTTGACTACTAGATTTGAGAGAAAAGCCTCTGACTCCTGTAAGAGAGAAAGACAAATTGGTTTAAGACATGATAATTTAGACAATAAAATTTAAGGAAAGTATTTTCTAATATCTTCATTCAAGAATATGCAGGGCTAAAATTCATTATTAATAGTTAGAAACTGATTTCCTGCAATAATGTACTTACCTTACTGAGAGTCTAGGACTCAGTTTGAATCTCCCCACAAACTTAATATTGTGGGTACCGTTCAAGAGCCTTTGTCAACTTGGTCTACCTTCTACAATGTTTCCCACCAAAAGCAGTATCATACAGCCTGTTTCCAGAAATACTGGTTAGAATATATGCTCTACCACTTGCTAACTAGGTAGCCAAGGACAAGGCACTTTACTTCTAAGGCCTCTGGTGCCCTTGTCCAGAAACGAGAAGAGTTAATGAACCAACCAAGGATCAAGCCCTCTAACCCAAACTATTCCAAGTTTCTTTGTTTGCAGTTAAACTGTCAGGATGCCTCCTGTTGACTATACACTTCGCCTAACTCCTATCTCTTTGGTGTTGTACATTTTACCAACATGAAACCCAGACCCGAATACAATATTCCCCTAACATGTCCTAGCACCTTTCCAGGGGAACTGCAGTCAAGTCTCCCTCATATGGTTTATTTCTACATTTCACTTTTTGAAACTAGATGTATTTATTATAGAAATATATACTACTTTAACTTCAAATTAATCAGTGTAAAACTAACATATTTGAGTAAGGATGTTAACTAGTATAATATTCACGTAACTATAACTTGGTATTTAGGCTACTCTTTGGTGTTCAAGATAGCTTGGGGGAAGCTTCTATCACATAAAATAAGGTAATAAATGAGGTTGATGTGCTCACTCAATTTTTACAAGTCAATTGATTTTCAAAATGAATGGTTACACAAACAATGGTATGTACTACTTACATCAACAGACAGATCCAGAAGCTGCGCCATCCTCTTCATTGTTATCCTTGTGTAATACTTGGCCATTATTCTAATATTCTGAGGAAAGAAGAAAGGTATGGAGGATACAGCTATCAGTAAGGCCAAAAGCTCGTTTGTTTTCCTATCCAAGTAGCTTTAATTAAAACGTCAAGGCTCAGAGCTTTTATTCTGCTGTTGTCTGCCACTGGAATGAAACCGGTTCTAAATGTCAACAACAAAACTAAATATTTCGATATTTTGGCTTCTGTGGTTATTTTTAAGTTATTCTGAGCACACTCTACAACTCTGTTTAAATACATATAGTTAAAACACAGGCTTAGCTAAATTAGTTGTTAAAAGTTGTAACTGTACTAAAATATTTTTGCTAAATGTAAGAATCTAAAGTTTTTCTAACTATGATACAAATGTTTAAAAGGCTAAAATTTTAAAAAGATCATCTCAAAATACTATCATCATACTACATAAAGATAACCTGAATTAAATTTCCCAATTTTCACTGGAAGTGGTGCTAAAATTAGAGGTGCCCTTTGGTTATTCTTAAAGTTAACCTTACTAACAAAGCAGCTGCACTCACAAGGAAAAATGGGGTTCTGGGGAGAAAAATGAGCTCATCTTTGAAGCATCCGCACCTCCTCCCATCAGTAATCAGGGTCAATGGTAACACCAACCTCTCAGGAAGAATAATCACTCAAGACTCCCTGCTTTTCCTTCATCCTTTCATTATGACCAAATTCAATTGTCTGTCTGCTTTAAAATCATTAATTCCATTCCATCCACTCAGTTCAAGCCCACAAAGCCCCTCTTACTTAGCTAGTCTTCTTATCTACAGTCTTTTCTCTTTCCAAATTCACTTTTCACACTTACTCCCAGAGGATTCTCTATAAAATACATGCTGGTCATGATCCTCTTAGCTTTTACTATTGGGTGTACAAACTTTGTTATGACCAAGACCTTTTCCATATCTCCAAAGTCCTTTCTCACTGAGCCCTTTCCTTGGAGGTCCCCAAGTTCCCCGGCTGGTCTGCTGCCTCTGTGAACCAGCAGACTATCCCATCTGCCTACTGAACCTACATAGTGTTCTCACAAATCTTACCTCACACATCAATTCCTGTAACTCCAGCTTGACCATTCTACCTGGTGGAACCAATCGACCCTCTCCTCATGCTCCCCTCTCATCCATGTATACTTGGACCCATAATACATAATTTATAAATGCCTCTTGCACTGTGATGCATTTTTAAACATTTGAAAGGTAGGAACCACGTCTTATTCTCCCATGTGTCCCGGCACTTTGTACAGTGTAGCACACAGAAGGCTCATGTTTGTTCTGTGAATGAAGGTTTACGTAATTCAATTTGTAGTGACACCCAAGAATATCAGAGGTCAGGTTTAAAACATGTTACCTGTTTCCAAAACTACCAAGTCAGTACTAGTGAGAAACCACCCCCATCCATCCCTCACATTCTTAAGAAATTCCTTCTGGTTTATATACTATAAAAGTTTGTATTCATGAGGGGTCCTCTCAAAATGCAGCATGGTAACACATAGTGATCTTTTCTGAAAAGCTAAAAAGAGGTGGGGAAAAAATGACAAGGGGGTAAGATAAATTCTGATGTGCTTGGGAAATAAGACAATAAACATCTGAACAACAAACTTAACATCACTACTACACTAGGCATAGGGGAAAAAAAGAATCCTGAAGAATTAAAGATATAACATCTAAAAGAAACATTTGAGAAATAAAAGTTTAAGCTCAAATTTGCCAATTTGCTTCTAAATTGTCATTTCCAACATGCTAGATCCTTACATGTTCAACAACTCTGTTTTTCAAGTCTTTCCACCTTTTTTCACCTTCCTCTGTATAACCAAAAACGTCAGTTGCAGGACTCTCCAAAGAACCTTTTCTTAATTCCATTCCATAGTCTTCAACAAGTGTGGACCAGCGCATCAACTCCATTGTGGTAAAAAGCTTTAAAAGATCCCTGTAAATTACACAAAACTTACTATTCCAGAACTGTAAAGATTGCATTTCATCTAATATAATAGCAAATTTTAAACTATCAAAGATGATTTTTAGAAAGCTTTGTTTGTAGAACAAGACACGAGGTGACTATTATTTATTTTACCAACTTTGCTACCATTTTTTCCACAGTAATTCTGAACAGTGCCTTCTCCTACTTATCATTCTGTTCTCTCCTGTATTATGTTTGCCAATCGTTGGACTAACTGACTGTAAACTTACTAATGGAACAGCTAAAAGAAGAGCATAAAACCCATGTCTGCTTTATATAACAGATTTTCAGAAGCATGTACTTCTGAAAATCACAAAGCCCCAAACATTTACTAATGATAAAACTGATTGAATAGTTAATTAAACAAGATCTGCTCAAGTGAGCTTGAAATAAAACTACTTCTTGCTAAGTGGCTTAGAATGGAGTATGTTATAATCTCATTATGTTAATTTCTAATGTAGTCCTGACAACAACAAAAAAACCCACTTTATTTTCTGTTTATTCTCTAATATGATCTATCAGCAATCAATTAAGAAGCATACATTTAGGTTAACCAGTCTTTCAAAATGGTACTTCTACCAAGACATACTATACTAATTATAAAAGTACTTACTTGTATTTAGGGATTTCTTCTAACTTCTTGTCACCGCTTATTCGGTGAACCAAGTCTGACTGTTCATTGTCAAAAGGAGCCAAGATAACATAAAGGACAACACTTTTCAGGGCCTAAAAAAGTCGCACAATGCAGCAGAATATAGGCAAGATTAGAAACAAAATGAAAACTCTGGCAGAAAGTGAAAATTCATGGAATAACTATATATTTATCTTTAACAGTGTATTCAAAAGTCTTAGGGGAAAAATCTTATCAGATTGATCTTTTCATAGGGCTTTTTGGTAATATTTACCTTTCATAAAACTACTATAAAACAAATACAGTGAATCTTTACTAACGTGAATTACTACCTGGGTTGGCTTTTCTTCTTTCTTTTTTTAATTGAAGTACAGTGATCTAGTTAGTGTTCGGTTCAGGTATTCGAGAAGGAAATGGTAACCCACTCCAGTATTCTTGCCTGGAAAATCCAGGCAGAGGAGCCGAGCGGGATACAATGCATAGGGTCACAGAGTTGGACATAACTGAGCGCCTGAGCACAATTTCAGTTACAGAACAGACTCAGTTACATATACATATATGTATTATATATTATTTTTCAGTTTCCTTTCCATTGTAGGTTATTATAAGATATTGAATATAGTTCCCTATGCTATATGATATATCCTTGTTTATTTTATATATAGTGGTTGTATATGTTAATCTCATACTCCTAAATTATCCCTCCCTCAAACATTTTTTAAAACAAATGTATAAAAGAAAAAGTCATTATAACAAGTTAGCAGTAAAAAGGTGGAATCCACATGTACACTATTCACAAGTTTTGCAAAATAATTTTCTAAAGTAATGCTGGATCTTTATCTGTGACCTCAGTTAGAAGGTACCTGCTATACATGTCTTAAACAGTAAGCCTACATTTCTTAAAAGGTCATAAATAGAGAATTGCCACAATTCATCTGAATCAATAATGTTCAAGTGAACTATCAATACAATGAACAGAAAGCAGCACCACACAACTGCATGTAATTACTGAAGTTAAAATTATTTCAAAATAAATAAAAAATGCAAATCCTTCCTGATAAGTTTCCACATCAAGTTTAAGACCATCTTTAAAGAAAAAAAAGAATATATTCTTACCTGTTGCCACTTTTCACTTTCTGCCTGTATACAGGGTGTATCATAGATTGCTCTGTAGTGCTTACAAATAGACAAATAAGATCCTTCATGTTGATCCAGTTGAATCATTAAGTTATAGTATTTCAACTTTAATTTCTGTAAAATATTGACAAAATGGGGTTTGTGGGTTTCTTCCCCAAACATTTTCAAAGTAAACTTACAGTAAGAGATAGGCTTACCTCTGTATTTTCTTCCTGGAAAAATTTGGTGTTAATTTTTTTGCTGATGATTTGTGTACGAATGTAATCCTTCACCGCTAGGCAGAGCCGCATTTGCTCCAAAATAAACTCCACTCGCTCTTTCTTTTCCATTGACCCATAGGTTTCCACCTACCAGAGTAAATCCCCAAGTAAGTTTACAATGTTTAGTAATAGTTTACAATTGCAACAAAGTTAGATAGACATTAAAAATTCACACTTGATAAATAAGAAACTTCATGCATATTGGGAGAATGCTGATGGTGATATAAAAAGCTAGTTTCCTTCAGGAAATTACAATTTAAAAAAAATTATTATACGGTAAAATGGATGTTTTCCTCTTGGTGTAAAGTTCTATAAATTTGAATACATGTACAGATTTCTGCAGTCACCATTACAGTCAAAACCTAGAACACTTCGGTCACCTGAGTAACTCTGATGTGCCCCCTTCAGTCACACACTGCCCCTACTCATAACCCCTGACAACCAATGATCTGTCCTCCAACACTACAGAGTTGTCCTTTCAAGAATGTCAAATATGCAGCTTTTTGAGACTATCTTTGTTTACTCAGCATAATGCTTTCAATAAGATTCATTCAAGCTGTTGTGTAAATCAAAGAGTTCATTCCTTTCTATGACTAAGTAGTATTCCACTGCACAGATGAACCCCAGTTTACCTATTCCCCTGATGAAAAACATCTGGGCTGATTCCATCTTTTGCCTATCATAAATAAAGCTACTCTGAACATTAGTGAAAGAGTTTTGTGAACATAAGTTTTTCTTTCTCTTGGGTACCCAAGGATGGGTTTGCTAGGTTATACAATAAACATATGTTTAACTTTATAAGGAACCTCCACCCTGTTTTCCAGAGAGACTGCACCATTTTTCAATCCTATCAGCAATCTCTGAGAGTTCCAACTGCTTTGCATTGCCACCAGCTCTTGGTACTGTCAGTTTTTAAAAAATTTTAGCTATTCTAATAGACCCTGATGCTGGGAAAGATTGAAGGTGGGAGAAGGGGACAACAAAGAATGGGATGGTTGGATGGCATCACCGACTCAATGGACATGAGTTTGAGTAAACTTAGGGAGTTGGTGATGGACAGGGAGGCCTGGTGTGCTGCGGTCCATGGGGTTGCAAAGAGTCACACACGACTCTGCAACTGAACTGAACTGAACTGAATAGGCATGTAGTGGTATCTTATCATGGTTTTAATTTGCATTTTTCTAATGGCTAACGAAGAAATGACAATTCTAAAAATGAAAAAGATGTCAGTTGTAAGCTAACTATATAATAGTTGAAACTATTATATAAAAAAGAGGCATCAGTCTTTTTAAAATTCAGCTAACAAGTCTGATGTGACCCCTTATGAATGTAGAAGTAGATATATACTATACAAGAGAATCAATTATATCAAGTACTATGAAAAAGTTCCTAATATCTGGCACACATACACTATAAATGATTTATAAAATCTAGAATGACACTTTTACAAAGTAGACTGAGGAAAGGCTATTGTTATTACTATAATTTGGTCTAAAAATTTTTTATTTCATTGCTTCTCCTTTGTAAATTTTAAAAATAGTTATTCAACATTTACTGTGCTAAGCACTCTACATACACTAATTCTGCTTTGCAATTTCTTAAGGAAAGTAAACACACACACAGTGAACCATTAATGCTTCATTTATACATCTTCACTCACTCTGTGTGTCAATTACTTTGAAGCAAATCTCAGACAAGACATTACAAATAAATATTTCAATATGGTATCTCTAAAAGCTAAACCTTAGGGAGGGGGGATCGGGATGGGGAATATATGTAAATTCATGGCTGATTCATGTCAATGTATGGCAAAAACCACTACAATATTGTAAAGTAGCCTCCAACTAATAAAAAATAAATGAAAAAATAAAAGATAAATCTTAAAAAAATTCTTACATAAAAATTCTTTGTATCATTAAATTTCTAGTCACTCTACAATAGTCTCATTTATTTTTTAATCAACTAAGACTCCAAATAAGGCTCATACTTTACAATCTGTAGATATGTTTCTTATGTCTCTTTTTTCCTTGCAATTTACTCACTGAAGAAATCAAGTCAATCATCCTATAGTTCCCTAGAGTCTGAAGTTTGTGGAGTGTGTTCCTGTGGTTAACTGGCTCGTCTGTCCCTGGTATACCTTAAAAACTGGTAGTTATACCTTTGTATATTAATTTTTTGGGCACGAATACTTCACAAGGGATGCTGAATCATGAAGCATATAATTCTCCTGCTTAGAAAACAGAGTTTGAAGACAAAACTATGGAGAGAATAAAAAGACTGGTTGTTGCCAAGGGTTAGGGAAAGGAAGGGATAAACAGGCAGAGCCAGAGGATTTTCCCGAGCAGTGAAACTATTCTGTATACTATTGATACGATGGTGGAGACATGTCATTATGTTTGTCAAATCTACAGAGTGTACAACACCAAGAGTAAACCCTAATGTAAAACTATGCACTCTGGGTGATAATGATGCATCAACGCAGGGCCAATGACTGTAACGAAGGTACCACTCTGATGTGGGATGCTGATAGTAGCAGAGGTGGTGTGTGGTGTGAGGCAGTGGATACATGGGGAAGCTCTGAATTTCCCACTCAGTTTTGCTGTGAACCTAAAACTGCTTTAAAAAATAGTCTTTTACTTGAAAAGAAAAAGGTGTGTGTGTGTTGGGGGGGGGGGGCGTGGGCAACTTTAAGTCAAACAGAATTAGAGTGAATTCCAAACTCAACCACTTCTGGACAGTGACTATAGTTACTTAACTCCTTTGACTCAGTAGCCTAGAAACTGACCACCCATCAGATATTCATTAAAAATGAGGGGGCCAATGATTAACAGTAAATTCCTAAGGCACAGATAGATGTACATGAATTACTGATTTAAGTTCGAAAGAGAATTAAAATGTTCAAATAACAGCATAAAGTTAAGACTAATTTGTCGATGTTACTTTTCTTCAAAACTTTTTAAAAAGTTACTCACTCTTAATCTTGGTGATTCAGAAAAAAGCAATAAGGTGCCCAAAAAAGCAATTATAAGAAAATATTGCTGATTGAATGGAAAATTTTACATACCCTAAAATGCAGCTCCTTACCTGTAACTCTTGTAAAATGGAGGCTGCCTCTTTGACATCACCGTTTTGCTCTTTTATTGTGGCCAATGTTTTTGTCAGCCGAGCACGCTCAATTTCAACATAAATCTACAAATACAAGAAATTCGTATTATCCAAATTCCTACAGAAACATGTTAAAATTGAAAAGGCAGAAATGAACTATCATCAAATAAGGTATTTCTCTGGTAGCTGTCATGCACTTATCTTCCTCATACAAACATTTTACACTCACATAATTTTAAAGACGACATCTCTATAAAATATTATCCATATTTTGCAGCTTTGATTTGAGAACCTAAGTAGGAAATCACTGTGCTTAACAAATAACAGGGCCAAACAGCAAAGACAGTGCCACAGAATGGCACAGCCACAGAAAGCACCTTTAAAAGAATTGATTATTTGAAAAATAACACTCTGCAAAGAACACAGGCAGTCCAGTAACTATAATTCAACCAATACTCTCATTCTGATTTCTGTTTAAATGCAAGGCTACTTTCTCTAAAAATATCTGACCTTGTACACTATTAAAAGTTACTAGCATTTTTCATAGCTATATGAAATGTTTGGTTTAAAATTTCCAACAAGTGAAGGATTAAAAATATAGGGCACTAATTTTCATGCTTGTGCTTGTTGACTTGCTTAGCCTTTTCTCTGCAACAACCCCTTTCCCCACTCACTCCCAAAACCTTATCTCAAATGGTAACAAAATGCTTAGAGTTTCCTAGATGTGTTAAGAATTTCTCCCTTGCTGTCTCTGCAGGTAACTTCCCCTGTATCTAAAATGCCCTCCTCCCTACATCCTGGCCCAGCAGATTCATTCTTTTTTGGGTGCCATTCACAGTGTGTGGGATGGTCTTAGTTCCCCGACAAGGGATTGAACCTGTGCCCCCTGCAGTGGAGGCATGGAGTCTTAACCACTGGATGTCGCGGAAGTCCCAGAATTAGTATTCATTCTTATAAAGCCAGGTGAGCCACCATCAACTCTTTGAGGCTTTCCTGAGGTCCTCAGCCAGTCACTCCTCACCTCTGTGCTGCAGGAACGCCCTGCTCCTGTCATGACCAACACAGTACCTGTCTCTATGACTGACTTCTTTTGACATTAAAAATAGTGTCCTGCCCATTTTGGACCTCGCACAATACAGTCAGGTGATCAATAAATAATGAACTCAGCTGTCAGAGAGGCAATAAGTTAGATATAAAACTAAGTTTTTGTCTTCAAACCACAAAAATCTACCTAGAAAGAAATGTATCTACCAGAGTCACCATTTCATACTTGCCCTTTTTAGAGAAACACAGACTAGGCTGGGGAGGTGAGGGGAAGGCATCAAAAAAATACAAATACGTTTTGAAAAGAGTGAAATTTTGAAAACTAATCTCACACTGCAACACTCTATGAAACCTCAGCTACACCAAAGATTTCTCAAGCAGATCTAGGTGACATGAAGAAATAACCTTATGTTTAATATTAGTAAATGAAAAATTGGGGTAAGATGACTAATTTCTAGAAAAATCTGGATATACTAAGACTGTCACTATTTATATTCACTGGCATATGGGAAGACACTGGATGTACAAAGATATGGGTTAAATTATGGTAATGACATTTGGTGTATTTCATCTCAAAAATACATACATATGTACTTAAATGTTTAAATACATAAGTATCTCTGATTACAAGTAAGACAGTACTTACCTCACTATGAGTTATACTAATAGAAAACTCACCTTTCCTTCTGTAACCATTCGTAGAGTATCAATTAATCGAAGTTTGATGGGAAGGTCTGTGATTTCTTCCACGTAAGTACAGCACTGTTGAACCATTTTTGCAACAGCCTAAAATAAAAAAATTCATTCACAAGTTAAATTCATTCCTCACACAGGAAAAGGAAATATTTTATTTATGGAAGTGCTGTAGTCAAATTTGATCTCCCAAGAAACTATATACTGAAATGCCTATATACAAAAACAAAAAACAAAAAAACCTCCCTTAGCTAAGAAGTACTGAATACTCAGTAACAAATCAATAAAGGACAGGAAAACGTCAGTCGCAAAGACTTTACCCCCCTTTACAACTGGTGAGCTGATCACACAAAAGCACAGGTGAGAGAGGATTGTCTGGTAATGTCTACCAGAAGGCTAGCTAGTTAGTTTTCTTGCAGCCAAGAAGAAAATTATGGAAGAAGTGGCAACAGACTAAAGGTGTGGGAAAGAGAAAAGCACAATTTAACAGTAGCCGTGATAGCAACGAAGCCATGAAAAAGTCAGTGGCAGAAGCAGAAGATTAAACAACAGTTCCATCACCTGGGTGGAGAGAAGGAGCTACAGCCAGCCATGCTCACCCCAATAAAATATGACATTGAGAAGCATAGCATCTCTTGCCCACAGTTCCCAGACAGGTAGTAAAGCAGGCTGGACTATATTTTTTGCAGCTCTAACTGTCCATGATCTAGGTCAGGGGTCAGCTAACCTCTTCTGTATATTTTTATAAATATTTACACAGTAAGTATTTAGACTTTGTGGGCCAAAGGGTCTCTGTAGCAACAATTCTGCTCTGTCTTGGTAAACTCCACAGATACATGACAGATGGGTGTGGCTCTGGCCCCCAAAACTTATTTACAAAGGTGGCATGGAGAATTTGGTCCTTGGTCCATAGTTTGCCAACCCCTAATCTGGATTCTAAATGGCACAGCATAATCATTGATAATAATAATCAGGACTCTTGTCATGAGGAAAATGTTAAGTTATATTCAGCATATTTAAAGATAGCAGAAAAGGAAACCAAGTATCTTGCCTCAAAAGTAACATACACATTAACTATCTAAATAAAAGACATGATTAAGTAAATTATAATTAATCAACTTGATGGATTATAACACAGCCATTTAAAATATCAATTATGAAGGAGCTACAAGGAGCTAGAAGAAAGCTGCATCAACACTCTCAAAGCAATTTTGTAAAAATATGCAACTACATAAGGACTAGAAGAAAAAAAAATAAAAGCAGTTGTCATGAGAACATGGACAGAATTTTTTAAAACTCTAAATGTTGTAATATTGACTTAACATTGTTAGATTTAAAACAGATTGTAGAAAGGTTTTCTTTTTCTAAAAGTCCTTATTCAAATTTGAATGTACTTGCTTCCGATCAATCATGAACTCACTTGTTTTAACTGACTCCGTCTTTTTGACAAAAGCATAATATTTTCATTAAGTAAATCCCATTCTTTAGCCTCATAGCACATCTTCACTATTGCAACCAAGATACGGGATGTGGACACCATATCAGAAGCCTGTGAGAATGAAAATACACTGAAAGTTAATGAAACAGTGTCAAATGAAATTAATGGCAACTGAGGTTTTCATTACAATCTACTCACAGTTCGGGTCTGTTTTTCCAAAGAGAGAAGGGTTTCAATGACTTCTTGAAGTCTTCCTTCCTAAAACAAAAGGTAAATGAACAATAAAAACACCACCACCAACACAAAGCCAAATAATTTAGTCTAACATGAGGCGTTTCTGAAACAGTAAAGACAAAATTTAAACAGTAAAGTCTATCTTAGAGCAGAGAGACCACCTGCACAACTGTGTGTCCTTTTCTCCCTTTCATGATACTGCCTGCTTCTCTAGAGGATTCCAGAAGTCAGTGGTTCCCAACATGGGGCCCACAAGCTATTTTAAACATTTCTAAATGCCTAGGAGAAATGAAATCTAGTAAACCAATGATTTAACACCCAAGAAAAACATCAAGTCTTTGTTTTGGATTCTAATTCATCACGTCAGAGTGGTAACACCTGTTTATCTGGTTCTGAACAGAGACTCTTAACTGACAGCCACCTGTGCCTTAAATTCATCAAAAATATTTTAAAACATGGAGTTCTGAGAAGTAAAAAGGATATTTGGTGGTAAAAAGATAGGAAACCCTGGTTTAAGTTTTCAGTGACTTTAGAAGTAAAGTAACGAAGCCCACCGGAGATTCCCCATGCGTGCTATACCCAGTCTTGAGCCAACAGCAACCTCCACCTCACACGTAAAAACAAAACACTCTCCCTGGGGCAGACATGAAGAAACGAGAATAACAAAATTCAAGTAACATAAACCTAGATAAAAATACACCAGGACTAAAATAAGCCATCATATTAGGAAACACACATTTGATAAAAACAAAACCAACCCACAGCACAAAGACTGGATTTATTTAAGGTAATAGTATTAATGACACTGAATAAACTAGAAGTAATGAGGAGGGCTTCATTTGTAACTGCTTTTCTAACCGTGAAGGGAATTTATTTTTATGTTAAGGACACTCACAGATGACATGTGAGTCCTGGCCCGATGCCCTTTCACGGGCTGGGCCGGGCCTTGGCGGCGGCGCAGGCTCTCCCCTCATGGCGGCAGGCTTCTCAGCGCCCTGGCTTCTCCTGTCTTGGCGCACGGGCTCTATCTACAGTGCTCTAACTTCAGGAGCTGTGGCACGTGGTTCCCAGGCTCTAAAGCACAGGCTCAGGGGGTGTGGTCCACTGGCTTAGTTGCTCTGCAGAATGTGGGATCTTTCTGGATCAGGGATGGAAACCACATCTCCTGCGTTGGCAGATTTACCTCTAAGTCACCAGGGAAGCTTTTACTGATGAAAGAAACTAAACTTCTGAATTAAGGGCACAAATAATGTTTAAACTTTTCAAAATATTGTTTCCATATTTTCCATATGAATTTTCCATGCAGCACACAAAATGTACTGTATAGCCACTGTATGAATTTATTAATTCAATCTGAAAAGGGGAACACCAGTTCTGAAAGCTGTATAGGCTCATGTACATTTATTGTACACAATAAATGCTGGCTAACTGCTTCTGTCCATCAGAGCAGAAGAACAAAGAACAGGGCTATAAATTCTCCAAAGCTAAAGGCTAATAAATCATAAAAATCAAAGAATCTAAACCTGTGTTGTTCAAGGGTCAACTGTAGTTTCCACAGGGAAATGGTTACTATTCGGCAACAAAACAGTGCAAGAATAGCTAAAATGCAAAATACTGTTTACTAATGTTACCCTCTTGTCGCTTTTGTAATTACTATTAGTCACATGACTGTGATCCACAGAATATAGTTGACTATATGTGGTATTTTAATTCAGAAACACGGTTTTAAAGAACTATACCATATATAGGAAGGAATCACATACAACTCCAGGGCTGGGGTCTACGGTATCAATGAAACCTGAAATGTCACTGCCCCCTTCTCAGAAGGGCACTCTTGGATCGTGCTCTCTAGTCAGTCACTCGGCACCCCCTTTAACACGCCAGCCCACTGACTTTCCGGTCTGCACTGACTCTGTGGACAAAGACCAGCACCTACCTGAACTAAAGGATACTGGCCCTAGATAGTTAAGATAACATATCAAAAGAATGATTTCAATAAGCTCAGATTCCTGCATCTTCCCCTACAGAGAAAAACTCTAAAATCATTAACTTGAGCTGTCTGTTTTTGTGATTAGCAATAATCATTTGATGTTCGACTACATGTTTGATTTTCTTTTTTTCCCCAGCCAAAACTCCTATACATTCTGGCTCCTCCCTTATCTTTTTGGAACAGGCTCTCAGAGATATCTGAGTGGCTGCTTTCCTGGGCGACAGTCCTCAGTAATGCCCCAAATTAAGACATAATTCTCAACTTAAAGGTTGTGCATTTTTTTCAGGTGATAACCCCAAAGTCTTTTCCATCTTAATTTTCACCATCTTTCTAATTTCACTAGAAGGTCCTCAGTAAGAGCAGGGGGCTCTGTCTATACCGTTCACCGCTGTGCCTCAGTGCTCTGCACCTGCCCAAACTTGCAGTGTTTGTGGTGCTTCTGTAGGAATGCTGGTGCATCCCTTTACACCCTGCACCACAGTTATTAATAAGCATGTCTCCAAAGTGTTCTTAAGTTCCTTTAGGGCTAGACCATGTTTGACTGGGGCTTCCCTGGCGGCTCAGCCAATAAAGAACCTGTCTGCAAAGAAGGAGACCTGGGTTCGATTCCTGGGTTGGGAAGATCCCCTGGGGAAGGAAATCGCAACCCACTCCAGCATTCTTGCCTGGAGAATTCCATGGACAGAGGACCCTGGTGGGCTACACTCCATGGGCTGCAAAGAGTCAGACACAACAAAATCGCTAACACCTGTCTGATTGGGGCTTCCCAGGTGGCTGAGTGGTAAAGAATTTGCCTGCCAATGCGGGAAACATGGGAAATTCACGTTCAATCCCTGGGTCGGGAAAATCCCCTGGAGAAGTAAATGGCAACCCACTCCAGTCTGGAAAATCCCATGGACAGAGGAGCCTGGCGGGCTACAGTCCCAGGGGTCTTAAAGAGTTGGACACATATGCCCTTGTCTGATGGTGTCCCTTGCACCAACTTGCACATAGCATGTGTCGAATGAACTGACGTTGACGTGAACTATTCATTTGATCTTGGCTTACAATTCCTGATTCTTACTGTTACAGTAAGTAGAATGTGACAAATTATATAGCTGACAATTCAGTGCTGAGGGACACTATCATCAATTTCATTAAACGCAACTCCCAGTTCTCAAACCATCCCACTTCTCACCCAGTCTTCCATGTTCAATCCTACGGTTAAACATCTTCCTCCTTCTTTTCCTGTCTATTCACACGTCATCCTTGCAATCCTACCTCCTAGATGCTGCCTTTCAACTCCGAAGAACAAGATGGTTTAGAGCTACCAAAACCAGCTTGTTAGAACATGTGACTCTTATGACTCCTTTTTCTTATTAAAATAATCCTTGTCAGTGAGGTAAATGACTAAGGAGTTTGTTCAACATCAATACATGTCGGGGATCTGTATGTTCTATATGTTTGTGTCCTTTAACTCCTAAATGACCCGATCTTCTAATGACTCCTTAAACAACCTAAATAAGAAAAGGCTAATAAAATGTTAACCACAAATAACTGGAGTGTAATGCCAATCCAATACTTTTAAATGACCTATTTCTTGAAGGGGTCTTTTGTCCAAGTCATTGACAATCAAAAAACTGTTTCACATTTCACCTCCTCTTTATTTTTAGTATTACCCATGAGAAGTTGCAGGTGACCAAAAGAAATGAAAAGACATTAAGAGGAGGGAGAAACAAAGGATATATTTGATTTAAGAATACAAGTAATCCCTAAATAACCATGTGTCAAATACATGGTAATCCAAAAGCGGGGGGGGGGGGGGGGGGGGGGAGGGACCTTACTGCATGTCAGAACTGTTAAACACTGTATCTCTATAGTTCAGAAAAGGCCCTCCCAGACTAATTTTTAAGTCCTGAATGCAAGAGTGAAACAACAATGATTATCACAAACTAGTATCACTTTTATTATCTCACCAATCTAATACAGGGTCCTCAAACACCAATGACAGAAGCAGTAGAATGTAATTTTTAAAACAGGCTCTGCAGGGACTTCCCTGGCAGTCCAGTGGTTAAGATTCCATGCTTCCACTGCAGGAGGCGGTTCAATCCAGGGGAACTAAGATCCTGAGTGGCCAAAACAAAAACAAACAAAAAACCCGGGCAGGCTCTGCAGCCTGTCTGCTCGAGTCGAAATTCCAGATCTACCACTGTCTTACTTCAGGCAAGACACTTACCTCTCTGACCCTCAATTTTCTCTTCAGTGATAGGAGTGTAATAACAGTTCCTACTGCAGAGGGTCAGTGTAAGGATTAAAGCAATACCTATGAAGGTATGCCTAGAACCTACATACCATATGTATGTTCGAATGTATGTATGTTACCATCACCATGACAGCTAACATTATTAGTTACTGTTGTTACTTGCTAGGTGAGTGTTAGGACACAGAAACAGAACTGTACTAGGTCATAACTCTAAGAGATACAAAAGGCCTAGATTTGGCAATTTTACCACCTGGGTTTAGACTCCAGTTGGACTTTTGAAGGCTTTTGCTATATGTGGTTTTCTCACCTGATACATTCTTATTCTCTACACACGTAATTTTTTATCTTAAATTGTCTTTCATATTTATAAAATGTCTTAAACACAGAACTGATAGTCTCTTAAAGAAGCCATGGGACACAGCAAAAAGAACACTTGTTAACTGTTGCCAAGAGACCTCTCTAGACCTTGGATAACTGCTGAATATACCTGAACCTTAGTTTTCTCAGAAGTGAAGATAACAAAACTTCCTTCAGTTTTTTTTCTTTTTAAGTCGTTATTGAATTTGTTACAATACTGCTTATGTTGTTTATGTCCTGGTTTCTTGGCCATAGGGCATATGGGATCTTAGCTCCCCGACCAGGGATCAAACCTGCACCCTCTGCATTGGAAGGCAAAATGTTAACCACTGGACCAGCAGGGAAGTCCCCCTTCAGCTTTACTGATGGGTTCAAAACGAAAAACAAAAGAATGTATGCTAGGGCTTCCCTGGTGGCTCTGTGTCAAGAATCCACCTGCCAATGCAGCAGACACAGCTTCGATCCCTGATCTGGGAAGATCCCACATGCGCAGAGCAGCTAAGCCGATGAGCCGATACTACTGAGCCTGGGCTCTAGAGCCCAGTACTGAAGCCCATGGGCTCCAGAGCCCATGCGGGGCAACAAGAGAGCCACCGCAACGAGAAGTCGGCACACTGCAGCTAGAGAGTAGCCGCTGCTCTATGTAACTGAGAGAAAAACCCACACAGCGACGAAGACCCAGCACAGCCAAAAAAATATATAAGTAAGTGAAATTATATTAAAGAATGTATGCTAAAATAGTCCATGCATTCCAATGTAGAAATGCAATGATTGAAGTATTATTTCATGATTAGCAGAATGCTTAGAAAATAATATAAAATGATGACTAAAAAGCAAAACAGAGAAACATACTCTAAAAAAAAAATAAGACAACTATCTAATCCAAAAGTTGAAAACTGTGGTGTATTTAAAAAAAACCTTCTACCCCCTATGCCCCAGCCCTCTTCCCCTGCCCCACCTCCCCACAAAGAAAATTCATATCTACACCTTGTTGTGTTCAACAGGCACAGTGGCTTAAAAGAAAAACCAAAATGGTTCTAATTTTTAACATGTCCCAATATTCCCTGCTTCAAACATTTCCATCATCTACTTGATACCTTAAAAAAAACAGTTGGCATTTGAATTTGCAAATCTATTCAACTATCTTGAACATAACCACAATGTTGTAAATAAATGCCATACACTGACCACTAGAACAACTGTAGCAGCAACATTATTTTTTTTCTCTTACTGGCCTATAAGTGATTTGAGAGCAAGAGTTTTATCCACTCATCTTTATACTGTCCACAATGTCTAGCACTGACTGGGTCTTGCACACAGTAGGCTATCAGAAGAGACTGGTAAGGGGAAGGTTTCCTTTCACTCTCGTCTCAGTTCTAGGAATAGCTGTACTCCTTTAGAACAATTAGCTTCTTCTTTATGGACATTACCAATCTATTAATTCCAAAAAGGTGGTTCCGGGGCTGACTCTAGACTGAACATATGTTTTGTTTGATCTACGTGGTATTGCCTACGTGTTTCAAAACAGTTTAGTGTCCAGTTTCTAAATATAGAGGCAATTCATACAAAACCCCATATTCCTGGTCACTCCCACAAATAAGAGCTGACAAGGCCTGGCCTTCATTCTCCATTGGCAAAGCTGAACCTAAGGTGCAGAGCTCCTGTCCCCTTTCCCGGAGCAGGTGCTCAGAAGTTCAGCTTTTCACTACACTTTGCTCACTGGGCAGGACAGCTCAGTGGGAGCAGAAACTCCAGAGTCAGTGTGCCTGGGTCTGTATCCTGGATCCATCATTTTACTACTGGTATGACTTTGGAGCGTGTGACTTAACTTCCCCTAGACTGTTTTCCTGTCTGTGAAATACTAATGATAATAATGTGGACCTCACAGGGCTATGGTGAGGATCAATGAGTTAACACGTGTAAACAAACACTTAGAAGAGTGGCTGGCACTGCAGAAAGCACTCAATAAATGTCAGCGATTATCTGCCCGGCTCTGGAGGTGTCTGGAGTTGGAGTTTTCCAACTTCTATGTAACTGGTGATGTTTCTTTATACTAGCAGCTAGAAAGCTCAGAGATGAATTTATGGTTCCCTTCCACTTAGGGTACTGAACCAAAGAAATACAGGTCTATCAACTTCATCATCTTTTCCTATCCCTGACTTTTCTAAAGCCCCACTACATTCTTTTTTTTGGGAATAAGAGAAGCATTAAAAGGGTTCTTTCTAAAAATTAATGGTGAAGTATTATTTGACACGCCTCCTGCCCTTGAATTTATTCTGTTTTAATGCACTTAGAAAGCTCCATAATAGACAAAAACAACTCTATTAGTGAATGCATCCCAGATGAACTGCGATAAATGCTTGTGGCTAGATTGATCAAAGAATTTAAGGAGGCCTGAGCATAATCCTTAACAACCTCCTATATGGAACTGATGTAACAACCATCCAAACCCTAGTCAGGCAAACCTAGGTTTAAATCCCTGGTTCTACCTCTTACTAACTGTAACCATCGACGACAACTCTTGAGTCTTGGTTTCTTTACACACATACATGAAGTTGCCTGACACACAGCAGTGGGGACATGATAAATGCTTGGATGAAGTAAAATTTCCATTTCATGGGAGATGAGCAGTTGGGCTAAACTACCTCCGCCAATCATGTTATTCTGTACTTTTGTGCCTATCTGTCTTTACTCTCGAAGTACCAGCTCCTCGGATGACTCCTCCCCATTCCAATATTACTCATTCTTCAATATCTAATACAAACGTCAGCTTCTCTGAAAAAGCCTTCTTTAAATCACCAGTAACAGCGAGCAATTTCCTTCTGTTTTTCAGTAACACTTTTATACTCTTTTGGCACTCACTAGCATGCGCGACTCGTCTAATTCGTTGTATACACGAACTCCTCAAGGACAGGGGTCCTGCATTAATCCCCTCCGTACTATCACTTTCCCGTCCCTTCTCCTGGCCAAACGCCAAGCACATCGCCACGATCTGTCCGCAACTTAACAAGAGAAACTGATTCGGCAAGAGCAACAGAACTAAACTCTCTGATCTACCGTGAATGCTGAAGCCGCCTTAAACCCTGAAGAACTACTAAAGAAAACTTGCCTTTTCAGGCAAAAAAAAAATACTACTGGAGCCCCAACTTCTACGGGAATGAAGTGACCATCTGTCCTGGGGAGGGTCTGGGAAGCTGGAAGTACTATGGTAGTCCGGCTGCGGGGTCTCCCTGGTCGGGCAGACCTGGGATGTCCTGCTTATGCAGGCCTAACTCGTGCCGGACAGACAACAGCGGGATGCGCGCTCCAGCCCGGAGGCCCCCTGAGGCCTAAGCAAGCTTGGCGCCGTGACTCAGCCCCTGGCGCCCGCCAACAACCATCCGGCCTCCCCTCACCTTGGCCAGCTTCTCGCACTCGGGCAGTCGCTGATCCACCGTGGCGCTGTAGTCCACCTCCATCTTGACGATGCGCCCATCAGCCCGCTCCGAGCCGCCGTCCGCCATGGTCCCCGCCAGAGTGTCCCTTGATGTCCCCCTGCTTCGGCCACCACTCGTCACCCACACCGGAAGCCGCCGGCTCACCCGCTCAGGCAGTGCGTCGGCGGCCCGCGCGAAGGACCCCGCGAAGCCCCCTGCACTGGCCGCCAGTCAGGCACCGCCGGGGACAGCCCCGGTGGGCGGAGCGGGGGGCGGAGCGGGGGGCGGGGCTGGGGGCGGAGCGGGGGCGGGGCTCGAGCGTGCCCGCACACACGCACACCCCACACCACCCGCCCCCACGTCTGATTTTGCCTTTGGTGGCAGACTTTTCATCTACAGTTCGTGGTGAGAAAAGCTAGTATAATCGAATAGACTATGATACATATTCTTGCACTTCTCTTGAAATATTATGGTTTCTCAGAGCCATGGGCAAGTCACTTAACGTTTTCTTGGATCTCGGTTTTCTCCTGTCTTACAGGAGCAAGCTGAAATAAATCCTGAAGAAAAAAATTCTCAGGTTTCATCTGGTTGAAAATCGTGGTGACTTAATCGATCTGTGGGATCTCTTAAAGCTCATAAGAGAAGGTATGGGAGTGACTCGGTAGTATAATCGGTAAATATTACGTTGGTAAGAAGAATCTTTAGAAAGACGTTTTATTTGCTCTCCCTTTCCTACTTCTGAGCATCAAATGAGATCTCGTTTATATACACGAGTCGATTTCCAATTCTTAAGGAGCATACTAGTTTTCTTTATTATCTACACTATCTGGATCCCTTAAAAAAAAAAAAAAGGCTTCAGATCCTTGAAAGTGAGAATGAGGTTGTGTGTAGTATGGTCCAAGTGTCAACAGTAGCTTGGAAAGTAAATGGGAAATCTTTGAGTGGTCAGCCGTTATGTTAGTGATTCTTAGTTTCATCAGCACCAACCTCTCTTTATATGTGCTGAATAGACCTTTTTTCCCTACTGTTCTATAATGAAAATCATGGATAATATAACCCGTCTACACACATAACTATTAAAAAAATCAAGAAAACATCCTAGCTGTAAAGGAGAAACATTGCGAAACAGCAAGATAATGATATATTTCAAAATATAAAGGTGAAAACATGTCTATAGTAGAAACACAAAGAAGTAGTCATTTGTTTGTACACATATACAACACGATTACTAAATGCAAATGTTACAGCTGCCACAGGTGTGTTCTGTTGGCTCCTCAAGCATGACTTTTCCAACCTAGTGTACAACGTCTTGGTAAAGTTCTGTGTATATCAAAGTATATCTTACATTGTTTTTCACACAGAAATCTTTGAAATTTTTTAGTGGGTGTTAAAACTTCAAAATGAAAAATAGCTTGACATATGTATAGTGGAGTTGAGTTTATGCCTCAGATACATAAGGAAATGTCTGGCAGGATGTCAAAATGTCTGATGAAATGTGGGATGATATTCTATTGTGTAGGTTTGTTGCATCGAGGTTGTTCAACATCATAATTACATGTTGATATCCTCCTCCTCCCCAGTGATTGTGGCAACCCCAAGTCCCCTTACAGATTTCTAAACCACACTCTAACGCCCACTGAGACACACTAGGGTAAGATGTTTTCTGGTTCTGCATTTGGAGGGCAGTTGGTTTGACTAGAGTAGACAAAAGGATTTGGAGGTCTGTCCTTTGCTTGAAAAGACAAAAAGTAACAAAGGTGTGATGGACTAAAGAGATTTATAATTTACAGAACTCAAAAAATAGGAGTGTGGAAGAGCTAAATAGGTGGAGAAAAGTCTAGTTGGCTCCATGCCAAACTGAAGCCCTTCCTTGCTGGGATTGGAGGTAGTGAAAACAAAAGCAAGTTGAAATATAAGGAAAAGCTGGCAAAGGAAACCAAAAAACTCAAGTGAAGTAAATAAAGAAGGAAATCAGGGGACTTCCCTGATGGTCCAGTGGCTGGGACTCCACCCTCCTAATGCAGGGTGCCCAAATTTGATCCCTGGTGAGGTAACTAGATCCCATATGCCACAACTAAGAGTTTCCATACCAAAGCTAACAATCCCACATGCCATGACTAAGACCCAGCACGGCCAAATAAATCAATAAATATTAAAGAAAGAAATCAATAAAAGTCTGAGTAATGGGCAGAGAAAATAGGTAAAAGTACTATATTATAGACAGACTATAAATCTATTATTTGAGTGAGTCTGAGATTAAATTTGTGGCTTTGTAAGAAAGAATTTGGTTTCAGAAGAGAAAAATTGGCAATGGAAGACTAAGGTACATAAAATGGAGAGAGAAATACTGACTGGAAACAAAAGTTTGTTCAGAAAGAATCACAGTAATGCATATTGTGATACTAATTATTGAAAATAATGTGCTTATATATTAATTACTGCATTGGTATGTCTGTTTTCATATCTGGCATTTCTGACACTTTCAGCTTATTGACTGTGCACTTATCTGACCCAAAGTTCCTGCCTTTGTGAAGTGAACATTCTAATGGGGAGGAAGACAGAAAATCGACATGTAAATACATGCTGGGTGTGATAGTGCTTGGGAGGTGGTCGAGGAGGGCATGGCCAGTGAGCCAAGACCTGAAGTTAGTAAGGAAGTCTCACAGGTCGCTGGGACATGAAGATTCCAGCCAGTAGCTGGAGCAGGACCCCTGAGCTGAGAGCAGTCAGATCATGCCTGGCTTGTTTGAAAACCAGCATGAGTAAGGGTGAGAGTTGTAGATGAGATTTAGGGTAGTTTGACCATTAGAAGGGCTTGGGGTTTTTTTGTTGCCGTTGTTTTGTTTTTCATTTTTTTGGCCACACCTAGTAGCATGTGGGGCCTTAGTTCCCCAACCAGGGATCGAATTCGTGCCCCCTGCATTGGAAGGCAGAGTCTTAACCACCAGACTGCTGGGGAAGTCTCAGGATTTGGTTTTTAATTTGTGTAAGATGGGGAGCCAATGGAGTTTGGGGCAACAGAATGGCAAGTGTTGATTTACATAGTATAATTAAAGAATCACTCTGTTTCCTGTGGGGCAGAAGTTGTCTTCTGTTGGGCAGAAGCTGGGGGACTAGTTAGAAAGGTTCAGCAATAATCTGGGAGAAAAATGCGGGTGGAGGCAGTAGAAGTGGTAAGAAGTGGCGTGATCCTGCATATAATCTGAAAACACAGCCAAGGTAGCATTTGTGGTTGGTTGTTGGGGGGAGGGTGAAGCATGTCTGCATCAAGCTCTGAAAGGATGGAGTTGCCACTTACCAAAATGGAGCGGACTAGGGACAAGCAAGTCAGAGAAAAAAGGACAGGCTTCACTTTCGGATATGTTATGTTTGAGGTGCCTGTTGGATATCCAAGTGACAATGATGAGAAGGCAAATGGATATTCAAGTGTCAAATTAAAGGGAGTCATTAGGGCTAGAGATTTGAAGTTCAGTCAGTTCAGTTCAGTCACTCAGTCGTGTCCAACTCTTTGCGACCCCATAATCACAGCACACCAGGCCTCCCTGTCCATCACCAACTCCCGGAGTTTACTCAAACCCATGTCCATCGAGTCAGTGATGCCATCCAGCCATCTCATCCTCTGTCATCCCCTTCTCCTCCTGCCCCAAATCCCTCCCAGCATCAGGATCTTTTCCAATGAGTCAACACTTTGCATAAGGTGACCAAAGTATTGGAATTTCAGCCTCAGCATCAGTCCTTCCAATGAACACCCAGGACTGATCTCCTTTAGGATGGACTGGTTGGATCTCCTTGCAGTCCAAGGGACTCTCAAGAGTCTTCTCCAACACCATAGTTCAAAAGCATCAATTTTTCAGCACTCAGCTTTCTTCACAGTCCAACTCTCACATCCATACATGACCACTGGAAAAACCATAACCTCGACTAGACGGACCTTTGTTGGCAAAGTAATGTCTCTGCTTTTCAGTATGCTATCTAGGTTGGACATAACTTTCCTTCCAAGGAGTAAGCATCTTTAAATTTCATGGCTGCAGTCACCATCTGCAGTGATTTTGGAGCCCCCAAAAATAAAGTCTGACACTGTTTCCACTGTCTCCCCATCTATTTCCCATGAAGTGATGGGACCAGATGCCATGATCTTAGTTTTCTGAATGTTGAGCTTTAAGCCAACTTTTTCACTCTCCTCTTTCACTTTCATCAAGAGGCTTTTTAGTTCCTCTTCACTTTCTGCCATAAGGGTGGTGTCATCTGCATATCTGCGGTTACTGATATTTCTCCCAGCAGTCTTGATTCCAGCTTGTGCTTCATCCAGCCCAGCGTTTCTCATGATGTACTCTGCATATAAGTTAAATAAGCAGGGTGACAATATGCAGCCTTGATGTACTCCTTTTCCTATTTGGAACCAGTCTGTTTTTTTTTTTTATTTGAAGTTAGGAGGCAGTAAAATATTGATGGTATTGAAAGTCATGGGGCTTAGTTTATAAAACACTTCCTGACCTGTGTGTAAAGTATTTGTTTTTGTTTATTTATTTTTTGACCACAGATTGAACTCAGGCCCTGGCAGTGAAAGCACCCAGTCCTAACCACTGGACTACCGGGGAATTCCCCAAATTTGCTTTTATAAATTGCTTATTTTAAAGGCAATGGGAGGGGCTTCAATAGTGGTTCAGTGTGGTCCTCCACACTTCCATTTCAGGGGTTGAAGGTTTGGTATCTAGTCGGGGAACTAAGATCCCATATGCCGTCCTATGTCAAAAAAAAGAAAAGAAACACAATGGAAGAACTTGATATTTTCAAGTCTGTTGCGAAGCATTTGGCAAAGGAAAATATGGTGTGTTTTCTCTTTTGAGTAAATCTCTTGGTCCCGTGCTAGAATTACTTCCTGTCAAGTGCAGTTATATCAGGTGGCTAAAGGCATACCTAAGTCACTATTTACTCTTGCTGCTGTAACAAATAACCATGACTTTGGTGGTTTAAAACAAAAACAATTAATGCTCTCACAATCTGGAGTCTGAAATCAGTGTCTCTGTGGGTTGAAATCAAGGTATGGCAGGGCCATGCTCTCCCTGGAGGCTCTGTTCCGTGCCTTG